AAATCCATTCAATTGACTGAGAATTGGTGTCAAATTGTGGATAAACTTCCGATAATTCCGAATCCGAATTCGTCGTCACGACCTCTACACAAATAAACGTAAAAAAAGAGAAATCAAAACATTTTAAATATCGAAAAAATGAAAAACCGAAAAACTGAAAAATTGAAAAATTAAAAATTTTTTAAATCGGGAAATTGAAAAATCGAAATCCGAAAAGTCGAAAAATCAGGCAATCGAAACGTCAGAAGTTCGAAAAATCAAAAATTACAAAATTCCCAAAAGTAAAATGTTAAAAATTGGGTTCCGGTTATTACGATTCGATTTCTTGAAGTTTTTCAGGCGCACTGGTCGATTTTCAGGCCGCACTCGACGTCCGTTTGGAATTTACAATCTGATTTATTCCACAGTGTCAATTTTCGGAAGTTCCCAGCTTCAAAAAAATTCCAAAAATTTCAGAAAGCGTTGAAGATATATTATGAGTCGAATTCTTTTTCAAGAGTTCCAAATTAGTAAGGACAGCAATTTTCAGGCAAATCGGAGTCCAATTAAGCGAGATAGCATGATAATGGTTCAGGTCCTGAAATTTTTTTTTTTCGAAAAAATGAAATTAAAAGAAAAATCTCGAGTCTGATTAAATTTCTGTCTATTGACGACTAATTTTGCACCGATGAGTCCGTTTCTGGCATCAATTGTTAAATATTGCGGGTATTTTAAACGAAATCTTTCTCTAATCCATACTCAAACACCATATTTAAAATATGATGGGACATAAGTCCGGAACGGCATAACATTCCGGGTTCCGGTTTTCACGATTCGATTTCTTGAAATTTTTCAATCGCACTGGTTGATTTTCAGGCCGCACTCTACGTCCGTTTGGAATTTACAATGTGACTTATTCCAAAGTGTCAATTTTCGGAAGTTCTCGGCTTCAAAAAATTCCAAAAAATTCAGAAAGCGTTGAAGACATATTATGATCCGAATTCTTATTCAAGAGTTCTAAATTAGTAAGGACAGCAATTTTCAGGCAAATCGGAGTCCAGTGAAGCGAGATAGCATGATAATGGTTCAAGTCCTGAAATTTTTTTTTCGAAAAATTAAAGTTAAAAGAAAAATCTCAAGTCTGATTAAATTTCGGTCTATTGGCGACTAATTTTGCACCGATGAGTCCGTTTCTGGCATCAATTGTTAAATATTGCGAGTATCTTTCTTTAATCCATACTCAAAAACCATGCTTAAAATGTGACGGGCCATAAGTCCGGAACGGGATAAAATTCCGGGTTCCGGTTTTCACGATTCGATTTTTTCAAGTTTTTTTCAGTCGCACTGGTTGATTTTCAGGCCGCACTCTACGTCCGTTTGGAATTTACAATCTGACTTATTCCAGTGTCAATTTTCGGAAATTCTCAGCTTCAAAAAATTCCAAAAAATTCAGAAAGCGTTGAAGACACATTATGAGTCGAATTCTTGTTCAAGAGTTCCAAATTAGTAAGGACAGCAATTTTCAGGCAAATCGGAGTCCAGTTAAGCGAGATAGTATGATGATGGTTCAAGTAATATTTTTTTTTTTTCGAAAAAATGGAATTAAAAGAAAAATCTCAAGTTTGATTAAATTTGGGTCTGTTGACGACTAATTTTGCACCGATGAGTCCGTTTCTGGCATCAATTGTTAAGTATTGCCAGTATTTTAAACGAAATCTTTCTTTGATCCATACTCAAAAACCATATTTAAAATTTGACGGGCCATAAGTCCGGAACGGCATAAAATTCCGGGTTCCGGTTTTGACGATTCGATTTCTTCAAGTTTTTCAGTCGCACTGGTTGATTTTCAGGCCGCACTTTACGTCCGTTTGGAATTTACAATCTGACTTATTCCACAGTGTCAATTTTCGGAAGTTCTCAGCTTCAAAAAATTCCAAAAAATTCAGAAAGCGTTGAAATAATCTTATGAGTCGAATTCTTGTTCAAGAGTTCCAAATTAGTAAGGACGGCAATTTTCAGGCAAATCGGAATCCAGTTAAGCGAGATAGCATGATAATGATTCAAGTTCTGAAATGTTTTTTCGAAAAAATGAAATTTAAAGAAAAATCTAAAGTCTGATTAAATTTCGGTCTATTGACGACTAATTTTGCACCGACGAGTGCGTTTCTGGTATCAATTGTTAAATATTGCGAGTATTTTAAACGAAATCTTTCTTTGATCCATACTCGAAAACCATATTTGAAATTTGACGGGCCATAAGTCCGGAACGGCATCACATTCCGGGTTCCGGTTTTCACGATTCTATATCTTGAAGTTTTTCAGTCGTACTAGTTGATTTTCAGGTCGCAACCTACGTCCGTTTGGAATTTACAATCTGACTTATTCCACAGTGTCAATTTTAGGAAGTTCAAAAAATTCCAAAAAATTCAGAAAGCGTTGAAGACATATTATGAGTCGAATTCTTCTTCAAGAGTTCCAAATTAGTAACGACAGCAATTTTCAGACAAACCGGAGTCCAGTTAAGCGAGATAGCATGATAATGGTTCAAGTCCTGAATTTTTTTTTTCGAAAAAATGAAATTAAAACAAATATCTCAAGTCTGATTAAATTTCGGGCTATTGACGATTAATTTTGCACTGATGAATCCGTTTCTGGCATCAATTGTTAAATATTACGGGTATTTTAAACGAAATCTTTCTTAAATCCACACTCAAAAACCATATTTAAAATTTGACGAGCCATAAGTCCGGAACGGCATAACATTCCGGCTTCCGGTTCTCAAGATTCGATTTCTTGAAGTTTTTCAGTCGCTTTGGTTGATTTTCAGACCGCACTCTAAGTCCGTTTGGAATTTACAATCTGACTTATTCCACAGTATCAATTTTCGGAAATTCCCAGCTTCAAAAAATTCCAAAAAATTCAGAAAGCGTTGAAGACACACTATGAGTCGAATTCTTGTTTAAGAGTTCCAAATTAGTAAGGACAGCAATTTTCAGGCAAATCGGAGTCCAGTTAAGCGAGATAACATGATAATTGTTCAAGTCCTGAATTTTTTTTTTCGAAAAAATGAAATTCAAAAAAACACCTCAAGTCTGATTAAATTTCGGTCTACTGACGACAAATTTTGCACCGATGAGTCCGTTTGTGGCATCAATTGTTAAATATTATGACTATTTTAAACGAAATCTTTCTTGAATCCATACCTACTCGAAAACCATATTTAAAATTTGACGGGCCATAAGTCCGGAACGGTATTACATTCCGGATTCCGGTTTTCACGATTCGATTTCTTGAAGTTTTTCAGTCGAACTGGTTGATTTTCAGGCCGCACTCCACGTCCGTTTGGAATTTACAATCTGACTTATTCCACAGTGTCAATTTTCGGAAGTTCTCGGCTTCAAAAAATTCCAAAAAATTCAGAAAACGTTGAAGATACGTTATGAGTCGAATTCTTGTTCAAGAGTTCCAAATTAGTAACGACACCGATGAGTCCGTTTCTGGCATCAATTGTTAAATATTGCGAGTATTTTAAACGAAATCTTTCTCTAATTCATACTCAAAAACCATATTTAAAATTTGACGGGCCATAAGTCCGGAACGGCATAACATTCCGGGTTCCGGTTTTCACGATTCGATTTTTGAAGTTTTTCACTCGCGCTGGTTCATTTTCAGGGCGCGTTCTACGTCCGTTCAGTATTTACAAACTGACTTATCGGATAGTATCAATTTTCGGAAGTGCTCAGCTTCGAAAAATTCAAAAAAATTTAGAAAATATTGAAGACATCTTATGAGTCGAATTCTTGTTCAGGAGTTCCAAATTAGTGAAGAGATCAATTTTCAGAGAAATCTAAGTACACTTAAACAAGCTAGATTGATAATGGTTCAACTCCTGAAAATTTATTTTCGAAAAATGAACACAAAAAAAAAAAATTCTCAGATCTGATTAAAATTCGTAGTCTTGATTAATTTGGCAACCCTGTGTCCGTTTCTAGTACCAGTTATTAAATATTTCCAGCATTTTAAACAAAATTTCTTTAATCCAGGCTCAAAAACCAAATTTTAATTTTGACGGGCCAAAATTCCGGAACAGCATAAGATTCCGGGTTCCGGTTTCCACCACTTGATTTCTTAAAAGTTTTTCAGTCGCAATTGTTGATTTTCAAGGGGCACTTCTACGTCCGTTTGGAATCAAGAAATTGACTTATCGGATAGTGTCAATTTTCGGAAGTTTTAAGAAAAATAAAAATTTTCAAAAAAATTCAGGAAGTGCCGAAGAAGTTATATGGCCAGAAAACATGTTTTTTTCTGCATACAATCCGAGCTTTAACTATGACATACGCGTGCTTCCGACACCCTAAATTGTTTGATATTAGCTGTTTTTTCATGTCCACACTCTTAAAAACCACCCCTAATCTGTTCCAGTGCTCTAGTTCTTAACCATGAACTTCCACAACCTCCAGCCGCCACTTTACGAGCGAATTTCGGGCCGTATCCCGGTCTGCCACCTCTAGACGTTCCGCATGATAAACATGGCCGTTAAGGTCGCTTCTCGCCGATCCACGGAGATAACAAGTCCCATCAAGGGCCGACATAATGACGTGTTAACACGCGTGAGCTATCGCTATATGGGGCGCATAACGCTCATTAAAACGGCAATTAGAGGGCGAGAAGGAGTAGAGCGTGTCGCGGTTGTAAATGGCGATCTTAGTGCGGGAATTAGCGTCGCCGCCGCCGCCGCCAACCCTTCCGCCCCGATAATGCTAATGAAAGTGTCCGACGGGGGCGCAATTACACGGGCACCGCTGTTTGCGGACGTTTGAGCCGAATCAATTTGGGAACGCGTTTGCGGCTTTTCTCTAGTGCTAACGGGGTGTGAAAGGGGCGGGAGGGTGAATTTGTTCGATGAGCGGGGAGACGGTGGATGATTTATTAATTGGAAGGTGCCGGAAAATGCGGGCACTGGAAAAAATGGAAATTGGGGACTAATACGCGAACTTATCGTTTTGGTTTGGTACACCTACCGATTGGTTGATCCCCGAATGACATATACCACTTCTTCCCTAGTTTCTTCAGCGCTTCTTGATCATGCAGCGGGTACACATTCAGGATAATGTTGAACTTGACGCAAACCTGGAATATTGATTGCCCCTCGTACAGCGTATACGTGGGATATCCCGGAATGTGTGCGTCTTCCGCCAGAGCCCTTATATTCTCTAATTCGTGCCTCACGATGGTCTGCTTTTCAGCAAGCGTCAACAAATCGTCCACGTGCATCCCCTCCGGGAGGAACTCCTCCAACTGACTGACCGTGAACTCCCTCATCACCCCCGCTTTGTCCTCCTTCATCAGTTCCATCTCCTCCGCGGTCTCCAGGAATTTGATTTTTGACGCGGATAGGTGCAGCATCCAGCCCTAAAGCAACAACAATTTTTGTTAAAATTTCAAATAACTAAATCACGATTGACTTACGTCTTCTGGGTCACATGGTTGACGCATTACGATCAGTTCGGCGCCTCCGTCGCGACGCTTACCCCGGATTTTGTCTATCAGCCACGTCAGAGTATTCTCTTTGATATCTGATGCCACCTTCAAAACAAGATAAGTCGGGGGGAGAGAAGTGCCCTCGTCGAACTCGTCGGACATCGTTTCGACTGTGTCTAGCTCTTGCTTACTCATTTTGCCTTGAAGAGAATAGAAACTGTTCAGACGATGTATAATGTACATGCTACCCGTGAGCAAGATAATTTACAATCGAGTCATAAACCTTGACAGTTTATAGCATGACTCAATTATAAATACATTTAACATTAAAGCATACTTATCTAACCTCGAAAAAGTGGCCGGGCTGTGTCTGGATGGTGCAGATGGTTAGGGGTTGAAGTACGCGAACTCATATATAGATTGAGAGATAGGCAACCAGAAGTGCATGCTTGTGGTCGGGGAGAGGTTAGGAGGTTAACGGTTTGCTTGATTCGTGTTTATGTTATTGGGGGTTTTTGTTGTTGTGTTGTGCGGTGTTTGTGGCGTTTGATGCACTGATATGCTCGGAGGAAATTTAGGTAGTTTCGGTGTGATAACAGAAGGAGATAAGTTTACGAGTTTGCACTTTAATCTTTAAGATAGTAGGATTGCTTATATCAGTGCTCAACAACACAATAACAATTAATTTTAGAATACACAAAAACATCGAGGTAGTTTGTTGTGTATTCGACTTTAGAGTTAATCAATTTACTTTTAACAATGAACAAAAACAATTTCGTCGTAAAAGTACATTTTTTTTAGTTTGAAGAAGAATTATTAACACCGAATTTACTCTTCACGCATTTTAGGCATTTTAGAAACTATTGCTCATTTGTAAATTTTTTTTGTAAGTAGGTATACACATTTTAATCAAGGTTTTACTCTCGACGAGTTTTAGGTGCGAAAAAAATTCTTCTTTCTGTAAAAATAATTTCCAAGGATGTTCCAAGTAAATGTTAAAATGAACTGTATTCGGATGGAAAAATTCAAAATTTACCCAAAAAACTGAAAAAGTTTGACGTAGAGCTTTCTCTCCAGTCTGCGAAACTGAAGACAAATGGCTTATTTTTGCTGTATTTTCCCAAATAGTCGAGAAAAATTTAAAAATATTTTCCCAAAGATTTTCCAGAAAAAGTGTTAAGTCAGACTCGATTCAAATGAGAAAAAAGATTACTTTATGCATTCTTGTTTGTGTCGATTACGTATTTGAATTTGTTATCCATTATCGAATAAACCACAGAAATGGTGGAAGAATTTCCAAAAATTTTCCAAATAAATATTAAACCGAGATGTATGCTGATGGAAGAACGTGCTAATTTGTACAATATTCTTAATATCAACATCTAAAGTCAATTTTGCTATATCTTATCATATAATCGAGAAGAATGGGAATGATTTTCAAAAATTTGTCAAAAAAAAGTTCTCTATCTTCGTCTCTCTGCCAATTGAAAAAGTATTGACTTATAGAGTATTTTCTCGAGACTGCGAAACGAACGACCAATGGCTCTATTTGAATAAAAAAAGTGTTGGATTAAAAATTATTTCCACAAATGGCGAATCTGAAGTCAGTTTTACTGTATTTTTCAAAATAATAGAAAAATGACAAAAAAAAAACCAAAACGGATTTTGTCCGGACTGAAAAAAATAGCTGGTGAGGAATCAATCTAATCAACAAAAATTATTTTTGCTATACTTCTCGAAATAGTGGAGAAAAATTGAAAAATAATTTCCGAAAATTTTCCAAAAAACGTTGAATTGGATTCTATTCGGATGGAAAAAAGTATTAGCTACTATTCGTAGACTAGGAATCTGAAATGGAATTTGCCCTGATGTTTCAAATAGATTGAAAAAAAAAAATCAAAATTTTCCAAAAAAGTCGAAAAAAGGACTACTTTGTACATTTTTTTGCCGATTACAAAATTGAATTTCATTTTACTGTACATTTTCAAACAACTGGCACAAATGGAGAAATATTTTCCACAAATTTTTCCAAAAAACATTTTCAAACGGGTTATATTCAAATCATAAAAGTAGCATATTATGCAGGATTTTTCGTAAATTGGGAACTTAATTTGATTTTTGTAACGTGCTCTATTCAAACGAAATTATAATCCCGGTACTGTAAAGTATTTTCGGCAGATTGTGAAGCTTGATTAATTTTTGCTTTTCCGAAAACTGACAAAAATTAAAGACAAAAGTTTAAGCGGGAAAAAAAATAGTAGCATGTATACTTAAAATTCTTGGCAGACAAGGAATTTAATAGATCGATTCTGTAACTTGTTATGTTAATAACATTCTGTTATCACTATGTAAACACAGCTAACATTCTGTTGTTGCTATGTAATAACATATTTAACATAAATTGCAATTCGCTAAGCTTCTTTCTGTTATGTTAATAACATTATGTTATTAAAATACTCTGTAAAATAACAGAGACATTTGAGTCAATGTTATTTTAACATAATGCGGTTATTTTGAGGTTTATTAATTAATAATATCACAAATTTGACGACTGAGGTGGCAAAAGAAGTAAAATGACAGAAGTGGATGATTTTCTACCCGTCTTCGGTTACTTACTATTAGAAGACGAAATTCAACGGTAGGTTTTTCATATCATAGTATTACTAAAAATATTACAATACATGTATTATATGAACAGAATGAGAATTCGGCTGAGAGAGCTTCGCGACAATCAAAATTCCTTTGAAAATTTAACAGATACGGAATTTAAAGAGTCCTTTCATTTTAGCAAAAATATGACCCGTTTCTTGCTGGAGAGGTTGGAACCTCATTTGGGAAATCTACGTGCCAGTGGTATTCCGGGATACTTAAAAATTTTAGCCACATTGAACTCCTTAGGCCATAGCTCCATACCAACACTGCGTATGAATGTCTTCTTCTGTTGCCATGAGTCAACCATCGGTTAGCAGGGTCATGACTTAAATTTGTCACCTAATTAGTGAAATTTTAATGCCTGTCTGGATCTAGTTCCGAACGACAGCAGAAGCGACAATATCTACTAAGCAAAAATTTTATGAAAAAACACATTTTCGTGGTGTATTTGTTTGACAGTGACAGATGATGAAAATGGTGTCATTACTTCGAAAAATAACATTTTCGGACAAATGACACATCTGTTATTTAGGTACTAACATAACGGTTTACAGAATACGATATTTGTTGTTTTATGTTAACGTCCTGATAACATAGCAATTTTAATAACAGAAATTTAAAATAACATAATGTTAACTGATTGTTACAGAATCGACCTATAAAACTACTTTTGTTGTACATCTCAAAATAGCTGACAAAATAGGGAAAAGACTTTCCAAAAAATTGTTCTTGTTGATAACGAAACTAAAATCATTTTTGCTAACCCTTTCAGAAAATCGAGAAAAATAGATGCGTAATTTCCAAAAATTTTCATTTGTTTTTATATTTGTTCAAATCACGGAAAACAACAGCCAAAATAATTTCCAAAAATTTTATATAAAAAAAAATGCTAGCACAGGCTTTATTCAATTGGAAAAAATTGTTCATTTCTAAATTATTTTGTATAGCGTGAGAAGCTGAAGTCTTGATAGTTATACATAGTTACCTATGCAAACAACTGGGAAAAACGAAAACATATTTTACTAGTACTTGCGAAGATAATACTGAACAATATTAAGAGTAGTCATTGGCGTGAAGAGGAGGCGAGTGGGCGGGGCAACTGTTTGCTAATACGACTCTGTAGAAAAAAGTTAAACTCAGCCCCACCGACTGCCTTTATCCATTTCACTGACTTATTTTATTTACTGTAAAATGGGAATGGAATTCTAATTTGACAAGCGGTAGAATCTTAAGACTGAAAACAAAGTCAAAAGTGAGAAAATGGAAAAAAAAGGAAACGTCCAGAAGACATGAGAGTAGTCATTCATCGGATTGGCGCTCCCTATTACAATACTTCCTTAGCTTACACTCGGGAGGGAAAAGTGGAAATAAATAGCTACAAATTTTCCTAAACATTTGGCTCTATTAAATGAAAAAATGTATTTTTGTTTTTTTGTAGATTACGAATTTGAAGTTACTTTTGATATATCTGTACATTTCAGAACAATGGAGAGAAATGGAAAAATAATTGAAAAGATTTTTCCAATGAGTCATACACGAAAAACGGGCTCTTGATTCAAATGGAAAAATATTAACAGAATTAAGAGATTTTGAGTAAAAAGTAATAGCGTATAAAGAATTCTTCGTAGGCTATAGGAATCTGAAATCATATTAATTTGCTTTATTGCTTCAAATAAATTGAAACAAAAAATCCATAAATTTTCCAAAAAAAAAAGTTAAAACAGATTCTATTCAAGTGGACATGTTTTTGAAGACTACAAATTTGAATTTCAATTTACTGTACATTTTCGAACTACCCACACAAATGCTGAAATATTTTTAAAAAAATTTTCCAAGAAACATTTTCAAATGAGTTCTATTCGATTAAAAATTTCCAAATTTTTTTAAAAATATGTCAAACTGTGGTCGATTCAAATGAAATTATAATGCCGGTACTGTAAAGTCTTTTCGGCAGATTAAAATCTTAATTAATTTGTACTTTTCTAATAACTCATAAAAATGAAAAAAGTTCAAAAATTAAAGACAAATTGAAGAGCGAACAAAAAAATACCATCAAAATTTACTACTTTTATTCTACATCTTCAAAAAGTTGTTCCTGTTGATTACGAAACTAAAATCACGTTTGCTAACCGTTTCAGAAATCGAGAAAAATGGATACGTAATTTCCAAAAATTTTGCAAAAAAAGTTGAAAAACGTGAAAAAATCGCAAATTTTTGTTGTATTTCTCTAAATAGTCGAGGGAAATTGAAAAATAATTTCCAAAAGTTGACTGGAATACTTCGTAGAGTAGGAATATGAGATCATATTTGCCCTATTGCTTTAAATAAATTGGAAAAAAAACATCCAAAAATTTTCCAAAGAAGTGTTAAATCAGACTCTATTCAAGTGAAAAAAGAGATTACTCGGTATTTTTTTTGACGATTACAAATTTGAATTTCGGTCTACTGTACATATTCAAATTTCAAATGGATACAAATGGTGAAATATTTGCCAAAAATTTTTCCTAGAAACATTTTCAAACGAGTTCTATACAAATGAAAAAAGTAT